ATAAACATGATTATACAAAAGTATTATCGGATCTCATCCTTAGCTAATCTATATTTCATTGACTTTTGTTCATCGAAAGATTGCGTGTGACAGAGTTTTTATTTTCAACTCGATCTCTATGAAATTTGTGTAGATTTATTCAACACTATATGTGAATGTATTCAGGAAGATACAAGTTAGTTATATTTAACTTTATACTGCGCACAATTGTTTATTGTATAATTTTATTTACAAGAGAAAAGATTATTAATTAATGTTTTAAATGTCATCTTATCCAAGACAATATATTTGATAACTTGTTACGCATGTATATTTGGCATGCGAGAAATGCGAGAAATGTGAGAAATGGCGAGATGATTTGACATTTCTTGATTTTATATCATTATAAAACGCATTGCAATTAACCCATTATAATAAGTCATTCAATAATTTATCGTCGTAACGACACTATCTCGTAATTTAATTCACGCACACTTCTTTTTATATACTTTCTATAATATTAATTTAATTAATAGATATTATTAATATCATTGTTGTTTTTATATAATAATATAGACTAGATGAGTCGTACAATTTAAACAACATCACTCGTACAATGTACGAGTGTGAGCTTATATTTACGACGCATGAGTCGTATAATTATATTCGTCTTTTTCACGACAATAAGAAAAGTAAGAGAACTAAAGAGGAAAGGGTCCGGACGTTTAACTCTCAGTGACCTCTCTTTTGTGTAAGTTTAACAAATAGTAATAAAATTTATAATAATATATCTTACACACAATGCTGCCACTTTGATTTTGTATTATGATTACAATCGACGATCTAAAATGATCGTAAATCCGCCAAGTCATTTGCGCACTTTAATACATATGCGTGGTATGATACATGTGGTATGTTGATCAACAGGCTTTATTTGCATCTGCAACAAACATGGAGCTACAGTATATCCCGCATCTTATAATAATCCGACATTTCCATTCATCCAGCGTCCATCTTATTTCTCGTGTTTCTACGAAATTGAAGATCTTCCAAGTGGACTTGCGAGCAACGCAATACTTGTAAGAAATTAAGAATAATTTCAAAAATAATTTCCTTCGTAAAGTTTTGAATAAATTTTAAGATGTTAATAACATTTAATAATTACAATTTTTTATAACGTTGTAGAATTATTATTGTATTTACTTAATGTTTTACATGTAAAATGTCCAAAAAAATTTAGTATTCTCTTCAACTATTTTTAATCTAACGATAAATATTTAGAAATAATTTATACTCCGTATAATTATCATCTCGCGTTTTTAAAAATCTTTTTTATTTACGATTTAGAAATTTGAGAAAATGTCAGAGTATTATCTCAATCTCCAACTTATACGTAATATAAATTATTTGATTTGGCATAGGAATTTTTTTAGAAGCTTTAAAGTATGTTATTTTCATTAATCTTTTCGATATGAGATTGAGGCCATGCAGAAATTATCGATATATTGATACAGATTGATCTCGGTTTAAACAAGTGTTTTTCGATAGCTCTCTGAATATCTCGTTGAATGAGTTCTCGTGAAAAGAATTGTACAGTGATGAGATACATATTAATATATCTACATTATCTACATTTATTTTGCTATTCGATGCTTTTTATTTTTAATCTTGTCTGCAGACAAGATTAAAAATAAAAGTTTCAATTCGTCTTTCATACGAAACATTATAATTGCGAGAGAAAATGAAAATATAACATTGCCAACTACAACGTGTGTATGTAAAAGTATGCATAGTAAAATCCTGTACACATAAAATTTGATTGTATTTCTACATCAAATGGAATATGTTGTTTTGTATGTGCGCGTATTATTATATAACCTGTGCTAATATAATAATGTAATACGCGAGAGGTGAAAAATCTGGGAAATTTTCTTTTCTTTACAGGAATGAAGTTATATAATCGATGAAAATTTCTTCTTTGAAATTCCTGATGATATTCAATATTTCAACAGCGATATTTATTGTTATTACATGCAACATTTGAGACGATTAGTACAACAATGATGTGTACGAGATAATACACATACAATATGTAATCTGTTACAAATCTAATAATTCAGTCTCCTCATCTAATCGCTTTAGTAAATTTACCTTTTTTCTTTTATACATTTATACTCTTCCATTATACATATATTGTATTTTGTATTTACTATACAAATCATGCGAGAAGAGAATAAAAATATCATTAAATGAAAGTGATTAATTGTAAACAATTTTACACTTTCTGACTTTTTTAAAAATCTTTTATAAGCTTTCTTCATATTTTTCTATTTCATCTTCTGAAATTTTTCAAAGTTATATTTAGTATCATATTACATTACATTTTTTTTTTAATAAGACAAGAAAAGTTTGAACTGATTGTGAGATATCTGCACAAACGAAGATTATTTATAGATAAATGGAATAAATGCAATTATCTTTAAGAAATATATTAATATTAATATTTTGAAAATATCAATGTACCGGCATAAAAAGCTGTTAAAGTAAATTATTACTGTTATTATTATTTGTTATAATTATTTTGTTGATAATTTGATTATTATTATTATAATATTATTAGGAGAATGCAATTATATAAGGGAAATTACGTCGCTGAAACGTTGTGTAGGAATATTATTTTTAATATTAATTCCTTTAAAATATCCTGAAAATAGTATTAGTTTTATATATCGCTCGAAGAAGTCACGTTGATGCGGTACGACCAGTTCGGAACTCGCTTTCACGAATATTGCTATGACGACACCTGCATATAAATGCAGAGATCATCAGTCACTTCTTCGGATTTTCGTTTTAATATTTAAATGTGACCGTGCAAATGAAAAATAGACGCTTAGAAAGCGAGAGAGAAATATAAACCCGCCCACTACATAAATGTCCTTTGATATTAAACGCAATCAGAAAGACTTGAAAATTTAATGCTTTTTTTGCCTAATTCTCTCACAAAGAATTAATTTCTATGATACTTAGATTTCATAAACATCTCCTATATACTTATATTTATACATTTAATTCTACTTAAGAATAAAGAAAAGATTATCTTATTATGGGGGAGAGAGAGAGAGAGAGAGAGAGAGAGACAGACAGAGAGAGAGAGAGAGAGAGAGAGAGAGAGAGAGAGAGAGAGAGAGAGAGAGAGAGAGAGAGAGAGAGAGAGAGTAGT